ACGGGTACTTCCATTGAAGAATGTGTCCAGCACCAGGAGACATGTGTTGCGTATGCCGAACCATCGTTTGCCGAAGAGTGCCATGTTCCATGCCCAATTCAGAGTGGCGTAAACAGTGGCCAACCCCTGACTTGGCATAGGATTATGAAGGTGATCGCGAAACGCTTTGGTGCTACTCGTCTTCCAGGATGGAGACCACGTGATACTCACTGTGATACACTGCAAGATATGGCTGCCAACCGATGTCAATGGCGTCCTTTTTGTCAGTTTCTATCCAGATTGCCTGAGTGAATGTCTGGAGGTGTAGACACATCGGAATAATTGTAATGAGGTAGCAATAAGTCCCTTCCCGTCCACCTTTATTCTTTTCTCTGCAATAAGGCTTTCAAGTAAATCATGGTTGTATGGCAGTGAAGCATCGGTGTTGAACACCGATGTCATGCTGTCGATGATGATGATGCATGGATTGACTTCACTTCCAGGACGGAATCTCTACAACATTCTACCCTTTGTAATATTTTACTGCGATTTCATTTTCCCTTTGTTGTAGCCAACTGAGCCGCAACGCTCTTTCTTCCGTTAGTTCATCTGCAATATAAGCTTTTGCCTTCTTCTTTGAGATTTTCCCACTCAAGTATCTAGACTATCAAGGTGATAGAATAAATTCCATCAAGCTCCTAAATCACCCGGCTAGCTCCCACAGACAACACCAGGCGTCGTAAAAACTGTCTTTGAGACTAACAGAGCCAGTCAGTTGGGATGTAAGCAAATACAATGAACAGGTAGTATTATTAGAGCAAGCTTAAGGGGTACCCTCCAAGATATTGCAAAATACACAGAGCACAGGCAGATACCAATGGGCAACGGGACCATCCTCTATGTTGTCTATAGACCCTAGGAGGGTCTTTCAATCCATGATGAGAGAGGCAGTGAATCGCTCCGGGAAAGTCCTTTCACTCTGGTGCAAAGGTCTCAGGAAGTACCAGTGAAACAACCTATGCCGAAATCGAAACTAGCGGGCGAGTGAAACAAGATTGTCTTGGATCCTGAGAATTTTCCCATGAGGATCTGTATACTGATTAGCCGACCAACAAAACCACTGGTTCCACACATTTAACTATTTCCTAACCTATGTCTGACCTAGATAAACTCAAACTCATGGTAAACTCATCCCCAGGTAGTTATACGTTTACCGTTGAGTGTACCACGTGAAAAAGCCGGAAAGAACATTAGCACCCCTATACGTAATCTATCCTATTGAGACTTTCGCTTCATAATCGCTGAATACTTAAATGTAAATCAAGGACCGTCTTGATCAGTACCTCTGGAGGCTGTGCCTTTGTTGTTGACTGAAAGAATCGAATAGGCCGCAGTCATCATCATCATCATCGACAGCATGACATCAGTGTTCAACACCGATGCTTCACTG